ACAACCTTGTACCCACATAACAAGTTAATGTTCTAGCTAAGATGAAGGTAAACTGAATTAAACTATTGTTTCTAGGGGCTAGGAGTGCATGAGCCATCTACGCTTATTCCTGGTTGCCCAATCTAGTTAAGTTTCTTTGAATTCCTATTTTGCTAAAAGTAAGACCAGGAAGACCTAAGAGTAGTTGAAAATGGTAGCATCTCTACCCCAAGATGATAAAATGGCTTTGTAGTAAAGGGGAAAAGACTAGGAAGAATAACAGGTTCCTGTAAAAGGTCTTTCTGGGTCCACAAGGACACCCTCTCCCCCATTTAAAACCTTCCCTTTGAGATTACCCCTCATTCACACTTATCTGTTTTATATATACATAGTTGCCCACATGTTAGACTATGAGTTCCTTGAGGGCAGGAGATGGTTTTGCCTTTCTTCACGTTCCCAGGTCTTAGCACAATGCCTGGCACACAATAAACACTTAATAAATTCTTGTTACTGTTGCTGATGAGGTAGAAGTTAAGTTAGGTAGAGCTCACTATTTCAGATAACAAATGAATAAATGAAGCATTTGGGGATTTCGTGTTTGTTTTTTCACTGTAATTTTTTTAATAAATTATTTTTAGTTTCCAACATTCACTTCCATAAGCTTTTGAGTTTTAAATTGTCTCCACCTTCCTCCCTCCCTCCCTCCCCAAGATAGCGTGCAAACTGAAATAGGCTGTACATATACATTCCTATTAAACATATTTTCACATTAGTCATGTTGTAAAGAAGAATCAGAACCAATAGGAGGAACCACAAGAAAGAAGAAACAAAACAAAAGGTAAAAAAGAGCAAATAGTATGCTTGACTGAAGCACTTGTTAAGAGTTTACTATGTGCTACTGTGTACACTGTGCTAGTGGGGATACAAATAGAAAAGTAAGATACTTCCTCCTCTCATAGAGCTCATATTCTAATGGAAGAGACAACACATAAGGAAAGTTTCAACTTCAAGTCAGTTGGAAAAGTGGTCCCATGGCTTTTAGGGAACAGCAACAAAGCAGATCTTAATGTCTTTTCTTTAATGCCGTTTCTACTGATAAAATCCTATCAGTGTCTGATATTGAACCATTTGAGAGTGCCTAGGACTCTGGTGACAAGAATTTTCTTGGGGGAGGGGTCGTCAAAAGACGTGACTATAGCACCTGTAGAAACAGTTGCCAAACTGCATCTCCACAGGGGTTGTTTCCCAAGCTGAGGGATATGGAAGTGGGCTGGACACTTTGCTATTCCAAGGTTTTTGAGGTCAGAGTCCTGGGCTCTATCTCTATCAAGAGTCTGAGGGGAAATGGTGGTCAAGGTAATGTGGGTGGTTTGACTTGCATGGCACATGCTGCCTCCTATCTCTCTCCCCTTTGCTATTTTGCTGTTTCAATTAAATTGGCTTGCCTGCCCTGTGAATGACAGTTGGTTGCCATTTGGTAGGGATGGCTGGCACCTTCTCCACAGGAGCCACATCCCTAAACAATGGCTATGAGGGTTGGGTTGGAAGCAGGACTGGTATTCTATGGGGTGCTGCCACTTCCTGGGCTCCTGTGCCTATCTGCATATTAGTGACGGTTGGTCAGCAGTTGTTGGTGGTGATAAGGACAGTGGGTCCCGTCTCCACAATGATTTCTCTCCTCAGTGGTGGCTGCAAGAGGCAGGCTGGAAGCAGGTCTGGTGCTCTGGGGGACACTGCTATTCCCAAGGCAGTGACATAGTTTCTTAAACCAGGAGACAGGACTCTACCTTGTAGGAATCAGACCCCAAGGAGTTGAAAGTAAAGTCAAATAACAACTGAAGATCAAGATACAGTCAGGAATCTCTTTCCTTATGATGAGAGGATCAGAAGCAGGCCAGGTAGTTCCCTAGAACTGAGTCAACTACCAGTACCAGTGGTTTGACAGATTTACCTCTCCCTGAGCAATGGCATCTACTTGCGGTGGGCTCCTCACTAAGACCTACTACTTTCTTTTTTCTGTTTAATATGATACTATATCTGCTTTTTGGAGCCTCTTCGGCACAAAATAATTTAAATTGACAAAAGAACTGGAAGCAAAGCCAGAGACAGCTACTCTGAGGGATACACCAACAGAATGATGAAGAAGAGAGGTTAGAATATGAAAAGTACAAGAAGCCAAACGGAAAACCAAAGATACCTAGAGGATAAATAGGTAACTGTTTTTCTTTAGAAGGAGAAAACTCACTCCAAAGAGTCTCCATCAAGGGATGATAGAACTATATGCACAATGCTATCAAAATCATTTTCAGTTTGTGTTTGCTTAAACAAGAAATTCAAAAGGCTGCACTGAAAGGTCACATAAATGGCCTTCAGGATAAACCATTGACCCAAAGGATGCCCAAGACTAGTATTTATAGTCTACATTAAAAGGACATTGTGGAGAGTGAATAGAAGAGATGAAAATAATGTTCACAGATATTGAAAGGATTGAGAAAGACAGACTGAGGCAGCCCTGATCAAACACTGAGGAAAATGGAAAGGAAGATGATGACTGTGAGGCTTCAATGCAGTATTTTCTCCACCTACTCTAAACGCGGATGTGAACCTCAATATTTCATGTTTATATCCTCAATTCATGTTGCTTTTTTCCCAATAAAAGATATCTGACTGCCCTGCCAATGAGTCAAAGTCACATTTTTTCCCTTATCTCCAAAAGCCTCTCCTCTAGTTTCAAGAAAACACAAAATAGGGTTTGGGGTCTATTATGAAAATCCCTGCTTATGTAGATTTGGGTAGACAGAAGTGATAAAATAGATATAAAGCAGTCAATGTAAAGTTTACATATATAAACACAAACATGTATATATGTACACCATATATATGAAAATATGGACTAAAAATTTGGAGATCAAATATTGAAATGGGATGTAATTTGGTTAAAAAAAAAGGAAGATTTAGATGGATTTTTTCAGTAGTGCAAAATGCCTCAATATTCGGAGATGCTAACCTGCAACAGATGGAATGCATTGGTGCTTATTATAGCACTTGCCATTGGTATACAGGCAGGTACTCCTCTATTAAACAGAACTTTATAAAATTAGCAATTCTATTGACAAAATTAGTGCTTCTAGTGATTATGTATTGGAACTGCAAGAGGATCCTAGCTTTGCTGTCATGGGTCACCCACCCCATCTTCTGTGGTTATATGAGTTTCATGTATTCTGTCTTGGGTCATGAGTTTTGGTTCTAGATAGGTTTTGTTGTCGATGTTCCCTAGAGAGTGGGATCCTATTATGAAGTCTGTTTGCATATATGTGCTGTCAAGAACAGTGTGTTCAAGGCAGTCTTCTCTTAGCAAAGCCACTGGCAGGTCAGTAGTATGTGATGAGGTTTATGGACTAGACAAGCCTGTGAATTTCAAAGTGGCCTGGGGTATAAGGGATGAGATGCAGGCTATCACATAAGGAGTGAAGAAAGAGAGGTTGAAGATTGACATAAAATGACAAAGCAAAGTTGGTCTACTTTGAAATTCAGCCTAGGGCACAGATGCCCTTGTACTACTAAAATCACATCCAGGATTTACTGTAGGTTTCTGATGCCTGTCATAACTTATATCTGAACACCTGCGAGCCTATTTAAAGTCTCAAGTCAAACATGCACAATTGAAACAATTACATTTCATTACACATTAGTCCCCTTTATCCATTGAGAGCTTAAAATGATTCCTAAACAGAGAAATAAGTGGGAAGTCTATGACTCTCTGGGACTGATTTAGCTCATTATATGCCCCCAATTTAGAAGAAGTAATGTCTGGTTATTGCACATGATGAAGTCTTGTTGAGGTTCTGAGTGTAAGAATATTTTTAGAGAACAGGTAACACACAATGGGAAGACTTCAGCAGACATAGCAATGAAAGGGAAACTTATTTTTGGTCAAAGTGAAACAGCTTTTAGCCTGTAGGAAGGGAAGACTTTATTTAGAAAAGCCACTGCTAAATGCTTAAACCTCCTGCTGGAGCCTGGCTGCATTCAGACAGCAATGACTTAAACAGCTATATATTTCCACCTCTACACTATTCTCTCTGTCTCTCTCTTCCCTCTTTCCCTCACTTATTCTCATCTTCCTTCAATCCCAGTCCTTCTCTCCCTCTGTCTCAGTTTTCTCTCTTTTTTTCTTTAGTCTTTTGTTTCTAGTCCCAGAACATCTGCCGACAACAAAATCAAATCTAAAAAAAGACAAAATAAGACTATGGAAGTTTCAAAAATGAGAGCCGGGAAAAAAGAAGACTAAAAACTAAAAAGGAAAATGACACATCTCCAAGTGGAGAAGTCTCTGTGACCAAAAAAAAAAAAAATGGTGAAACAAAGCCCTTGATTGGCTTGGGAATCTGAGTTAGTTATTCTGCAAGTTGTACCCAGAACAAGAATCAGTTCAACAGTTATTGAACACCTTGTGTGTAGGGCATTGTTCTAGGAATCAGGCAATAATGAAACCCACAGGAATTGTGAAGATTGTGGATAAAAAAAGAAAAAGGAAGAAGTCCAAGATAGAATCTTGAGAGTTGCCCACATTTAGTTGGCATCTTGTTCCAAATGTTCTCTCCTCTCCTCAACCCACCCACACCACCTCCTTTCCCACTCTTACCCCATATTAGACAAAAAAAAAATAGTTATTCACTACAAGATTCTTCTTCTCCCTTTATCCTCATCTCCCATCTCCTTGTTCAATTCAGTCTCTGACAAAGAGGTGTTCCTTCTCATTGCCCAGTAAAATTTTCTTTACATGTACCCTTGATACCATCCCCTCCATCTTCTCTAGCATATTGTACCTACTATTATCCTTCTTCTCTTTCTAATCTTTCATCTCTCCCTATATTCTTGCTCTTTCCAAGATGCCCACAAATGCACCCGTCTCTCCCATTCTTAAAAATTCCTCCCTAGATCCTACCATACCTGTTAGCTATCATCCTCATTCCTCCTCCCCTTCTGAACTTGAAAAAGCTGACCACTCTTAGAATTACCATTTTTCTCATTCACTGTCTTCTTAAAGCTCCTGCAATCTTGCTTCCAGCTTCATCATTTGATAAAAAATGTTCTCTCTAAAGTTACTAATCATCTCTTAATTGCTAAATTGAATGGCCTTTTCTCATTCAGGATCCTTCTTGGTCTCTGCAGCATTTGACATTGTTGACTCTCTCCTCTTAGATACTCTCTCTTATCTGGGTTTTTGTGGAACTGTTCTATGTTGGTTCTCCTATTACCTGTCTGAACTACCCTCATTCTCCTTTGTTTGATCATCATCTATGTCATATCTATTAATTGTGACCATAACTGATGGCTCTATCCTGAACCCTATTCTCTCTCTCTTTCTCTCTCTCTCTCTCTCTCTCTCTCTCTCTCTCTCTCTCTCTCTCTCTCATTTTATCAATGTGAGGAACTACAAATGTAGAAATTCCCTCCATCAAAGAAATTAGGCAACTTGTGTCCATCTTAGAGAATTGTCTGTGGCACCTAGAGTTCAAATGCCTTGACCATAGTCACCCAGATAGTATGTATCAGGTTTTGAATCCATATCCTGCTGGCTTCAAGGCAAGCCTCCTATCCACTATGTCATTGAAATTACCAAGGATGAGGACAGGGGTTGGGGTGAAGAGAAAGACTGGGAATCAGATATTGAACTCATTGAGAAAGAAGGGAAAGTGCCCTAGAAGGCAGAGGATGACAGCACTTGAGATCTGGACAAGTTGATATAGAAGGGTGGAGTAAGAAGTTCTGAGTGATGGTGGTAAAAGAAGGGACTAGAGGAGACAGTTGGGATCGAGGAACAGGCTGAATTCTCTTCCTGGATCTGTGTGTAGGAGAGAGGAAAAACTGACCAATGCCACTGGAATATTTAAAGAGTATATAAGAAAGGGATCTAGGATGAAAGGAATTAGTTAACAATAGAGCACAATTCCGGAAAGCACAGTGAAGGAAGAAAGGGACATTGTTGAGAGTGTTGGCTCCCAAGTCCTACCTGATACTCACTTGCTTGTATGTTACTTAACATCCCTGGGCTTCAGTTTCCTTAACTATAAAATAAGAAGATTGGTTTGATGGCCTCTAAGATCTATTACAGCTCTAGATCTATGATCCTATAAGGGAAGACAAGGGTAGAGATGGTAGAGGGAAAGATCTGAGCTTAAGAGGAATGGGAATTTGAGAAAAGGTGGCACTATAGAAAGGCTGGATTACAACAATTAGAGGATAATGAGGTAGGAATCTTCCATAGCCATAAGTAAGGAAAAGAAACAATTCTGATGTAAACATTCCTCTTCTCCCAGACTGAATAGATATCAAGGAAAGGATGTTGGGATGGATGGATTAGTGGAATTGGCCAGCTTTTTTAAAGATGTCATCAAAGATGTTTGAGCTGATGCCTCTCGTGTTTCCTGACAAATTTTTCCTCAATAAATCTCTCTTTACCAAGAAGAGATCTGAAAATGTATCTTTCTGACCCAGAAGTCAGCTAATGGCTATTGTCAAAGGAGTTCAATTCAACTTCATTTTCTGATGATGCTGGGTGATGACTTTTATTGCTGCAGCAGCTGCCATTAATGGTGGTTTCACCCAGTGAAAACTGTTTTATAAAACAATGGCTAACCAACATTTCTGCCTCAAGCCTCTCTCCTATGTTCTCAATGGATTCAAAGTTATTGTTGCAGTTGCTTAGTAGCCATCTAAATAAAGACCACCAGAAAATAAGAAATGTGTGCTAGACTCAGCTCTGCCACAATGGCCCTCCCCCACCAAGGTATATTTTGTGAAACAGCAGAGTTGTCCTCCATTATGTCATTCTGAATGAGAGAAGTATAGATAGAGTAGAAATCTAGAATAACAAGAAATTGGAGGGATATTTCAGATCTACAGCTTACCAGGATTCAAGGAAATTTCTGTGACTTCCTTCTCTTATGCACAAAGGGACTTTGGAGCATAGCCCTGGAGACTTCATAGTATTGGTATCCATCCCTGAGTTTAAATAGGCTGTTTAAAATTCAAGATCTTATCTTATTGGGCCATTTTCCCATTGAAAAGATGAATTGGAAATGAGAAGTGTAAGGACTGTTTCTATTTAGTCCAAGAAAGCAGGGGCCATCCCAGGCCAGCTGAAGAGCACCTGAAATCCTTAAGAAGCAATTCCCAATCTATTAGATCTACCGTACTAGCTATCCTCAGGTGCTTGACAGACACAAGCTTATTGTGATCTTCTCAGAATCACTGTCACCAAAAGAGTGACCCCTCATCTCATTTGAGTGGGAAGATGGTGTACTAATCCTGACTCAAACTAAACTTACAAGTTTTGTTCTCAGTAATAAAGAGAAAAATATTTTCTGCTGCACTTCCAGAATATATGATAATAAGATTCTCATTTTTCATGAATAATATGTAGAAATATGCTTTCTTAAATGTTCATTTCAAAGATGTTGGAAAATTTATCAATCAGTGTAAATATAGAAGCTCCTGTTAAACTTAGGAACAAGCAAATGTAGGAGGTTATTGAGAAGAGTTTAGTACAGGCAGGCTCTAAGGCAGAAAGCAAGATGACCTTACCAAGACCCTATTATTTTGCAGGGTTTTAATCTGTAATTCTTTGAGACTTTTCATATAGAATCACTTTTCCAATTCACTGAAATCTCCCAGGGAAAGTTTTCTGTTCATTTTTTTTTCTTCAAAGTGTTGGTTGGTATCAATAGCCCAGCACCTAACCATTTTTGAAGAATCATATAGTTATAAAATTTCATGAGCAAGAAGGTTCACTTTAGGTCAACTTTCCAGGTAATTCAGGAATCACTACTATTTTATCCTTAAAAGGAAGTCATCATGCCTTAGCTGCCTCTTCACTAGGTTCCTTCAGCCCCATTTCCCATTGGTAAGTTCTCAGAACTTTAGTTTTGGAGAAAGGTCCAAACCAACCAAACCTGATACTCTGGCTGTGGCCATCATTCCCCCTTCCTTCTTGCCTTCTTGCCCCATCTTTTCAACTCTCATTTTATGTATTATCCTCCCCCACTAGTATGCAAGCTCCTCAAGGGACCTTTTTTTCATGTATCATTTCATACATCATTGTCTTTCTTTTTGTTTATATTTATATCCCCAGATCTTAGCACAGTCCCTGACATATGATAAGCACTTAATAAATGTTTATTGACTGACTGAATGATCCTCTTAAACAGTTCCAGTGATAGGGAACCCATTACTTCTCATTTTTAGAAAGCCCTTATCATTAAAAAGTTCTTATCTATATGGAGCTGAAATCTTCCTTTATATAAAATTAATCTCAATCATTCATTTAGCAAAATATTTATTGAATTCCAGCTCCGAGTAAGACACTATGTTAGGCCCTACAATGAAAACAAAAATATGTGTATCTTATGGATATATACTAAGTGCTTACTACGTCCAAAGTTCTGGATATTATTATCCTAAGTTAGTTTTATATCTACACAAGGCTCTGTGCTAGATTCGGGGGATTAAAATGCAGAAAATGAAAATCAGTTCTCACCTGAAAGCTTCTAATATTCTTTCTGTTGGGTGTGACAGTACAGTGAGGGGGATTTAGATCCACCTGACCAATCAGAACCAACCAATCAGAACTGTTTGACCAACAAAAATCATCTGACCAATCCATCCATCAGTCATCATTCTCTGAATCCCATCTGGAGAGAATGTCATAGGACTTTATTGTTGGCCTGGCTCTGTTGTATATTTTGATCAGTGGCTTACATAAAAAGATAGAGATGAGATGTTGATCAGATTAGTAGTGAACCCAAAGGTAGAAGGGATAACTGACATGATACACAATAGAACTGTGAACCAAAAAGTTTCTGATTGTTTGAGACAATGGTTCAAAGCTAAGAAAATTAAATCTAATAGGAAAAAAAAAGTAAAATTCCATACTTGAGTTAAAAAATTGTAGGATAGGGGAGATATGAATAGAAAGAAGTTTTCTGAGATCTTACTTCCATCAAGGTGAAGGAATAGGCAGGACAAAAGGCAAATTGAGTGGCCTCAGGGTATTTTTGTCAAGTGGACTAAAAGGACAGTATTAGTCAACAATATCATGGGAACAGGAAAAAAAAATGTTAGCAGAATTTTGTGCTACATTTTCAGATGTATAGAGTCCAGAATGGAAGAGATGATTTTTCACATCTAGGAGATTTGTCCAGATGTGTGTACCAGATTTTAGAAGGCTCTTTGACAAACTGGAATACCAGGAAAGGAAAGTGATTAGAATGGTGATGATTTCTTATACATTATTCCCCTATATACACTCTACATTCTGGCCATACTAGCTGTTTTTCTCACACACAGTGATCCATCTTCCATCATCATGCTTTTGCATGGGCCATCTCCCATATCTAAATTATATTCCTTCCTCACCTTCATCTCTTGGAATCCAGTTAAGTGTCACCTGTTTCATGACCATCCCAGATGCTTGCAACTTCCATTCCAAGATTACCTCATATTTTTATCCTTTCCTACATTTGTGTTGTCTCTTAACAACAATAACAATGACAATGACAATACAACAATAACATTTATAAAATGCTATGTGCCAGCATTGGGCTAAGGGATTTCACATTTATCTCCTTTGATCTTCACATTGAGAAGTAGTGCTATTATTATCCATGTTTTACAGATTTCTTGGGTTAGAATGCAAATTTCTTGAGAAGAGGAACTATTTCACTTTTTGTATGCCTAGTACTTAGAAGAAATAGGTCCTTAATAAATGTGATTGTTGACAGATTAATTGAATACAAGAAACCATGCCATGCAAAAATCAATAGCAGAAATTAAGGATGTTTAGCCTAGAGGAGAGAAGGGGGGGGAGGAGTGGCATGTTAGTCCTCTTTAAATATTTTAAAAAGCTGTCACAAAGAAAAGAGATTAAACTTTTTCTGCTTGACTTCATTTGACAGAACTAGAACCAGAGGCTGAAATGATACAAGAAGGCAGAGTTATGCTTATTCTGAAGAAGAACTTCCTTATAATTAATGTTCTTTAAAAAAGAGAAGGGTATCTCAACAGGTAGTGAGTTTCTCACCATTGGAAATATTATAATATAAGCTAGGTAACTAATTGTTGGGGATGTGGTAGACAGAATTTATGCTTTGAACTTTTGATGGGTTTTTATGCTTTATGCTTTTGAAGGAACTTTGCAATTGTGCAATTCTGTGTTTACGTCTTTCCACATGGCAAGATTTCTCTT